AAAGTAACATGTTCACTGTTGGCCTAGTTAATTCAATGAACTTAAGTTATCATCAAGTCTAAGTGAGGTCTTCTAGTCTAAGTTTAAGACCGGGTCAGGTCTTCTTGGCGGTTCCCGGGCTGTCGGACGTCCAGATGGAGGTGCAGACCGGCACGCAGAACCGCCCCGCGATGCTGCTGCGCACCGCCCAGGGCGCTGTCTGTCCCGCGGAGGCGTTGATTGGAAGCCACTGCCGCGGCCTGGATGGCGCTAGCGAAAGGGCTGCGGGACTGGTGAATTTTGGGAAAGTCACGGAAAGTCCTTTATAAAAGCGGAGTCTGGTTCGTTATGGTTCTACTATGTTCTACTTATCAATGTGTAATTAGATGATGAAACCTGTGATTTTGTCATTGGGGTCTGGTTTTGGATAGTATGTTCTTATGACTTATGACTTGTTTTTACCGAATTGTGCATAATGCACATTGTCACATTGTTGTTTGTTGTGTTTTCATGCCTCAGCCTTTGAAGAAAAAAAACGCAGAAGGAACAGTTTCCTTAGTGATAGGATCAGATACCTCGACCATCACGAGCATGACCATGGCTTCCATGCTCCTCTGGCGAGCATCGCAACAGAGTTGTGCGTCCGTGTCATGACCTCTGTATCAAGGTTGCCCCATTCAACACATTGTTTTGCTGAGAGTTGTTGATTTTGATTGATTTGGCAGATCTGCTAGAGCTGACGTCCCTTCTGCAGATTCCGAACATATGAGAGTATGAAACATGAACTAGAACATGTTGGTCCCTCACAGATAGAAAGGAGTAAGTCCTTCAAAACAGTAAACCCACCACTGGGAAGATCTGTGAAGTTACATGGACAGTGAAGATAGGATACACACACATATATATAAATCATATAAAAGGTAAAGTGGCTAAAGATTCATGGGTATCTCCCCATTGACAAACTTGTTCGTCCTAGACGTGTTTGGGACCGCGACGATGCAGTCGCGGCCACAGCCCGCCACGTCGTCCGCAGAGTTCAGGTGGCAAGTGGATTGCAGTGGCTCGTTCCTGCGGTTTGATGATCCATGAGATTCAACTTCTCAAAGAGGACCATCGAAGCAGTCTTCGAGGGATTTGATTTGGGAATTTGAGATGGCAAAGATTTTCCAGGGAAAACGATTTGATCTGAGGATTTTATTTGGGAATAGGTTGGTTTATTTTATCAACTTCTATCAACTTCTTGAGATGATGAGAGGCAAACATGTTCCAGGGAAAACAACTTGTTTGACGGAAGTTCTTGTGTTCCAGGGTTGAGTTCACAAGGGATTGTATGATATTGTATGTTCAAAAAGTACACGCATGTGTGCCAGGTATGTACATTTGCCGCTAGCGTTTGATCGATGATGACAAAATTTGGAAGGTCCAACTCTGACGCAGCAAAGGGCTATGGTAATAAGGGTAATTACGGATCAGATTTGAGTACCACCCAAGAATCGGATGTCTTCTTCCCCAAAACCATCAGTACACCAGTGCTTCCCACTTGTGTGAAATGTCTAGGGATGGTTTCACAAATACTTGATCATTTTTTGATGAGTGATTTTGGGATGATGACTCCCAATGACCAGCTCATTTTTGAGCGGTTGAATCTGCCATAGAATCCACCAGATTGTTTGACATCAGAAAATCACATATCCTTCACCCTTGAGAAGCCTGGTTAAACCTTGGATATCTTGGATAGGACTGTCATCAATTGCTGTAGCTATGGGACTAGTCATACTGCGGATGGAAGAAATGCTGCACCACCAAAAGGATGGTTGAAACCCTATAAATAGTGGGATAAAATCATCTACTGTATCAACTGGTGCAGGATTTCTTCCATCCACAGTATGTTGATGTCTAGGATCTCTAGGATTTCATGTGTGTCCCATCCAGGGACCCCCAAACGGGGCAAGTCATTGGTGAGGAGACCCGCGGGGCTTTGCTAACGCTGGGGCTCCACCAGCAGCTCTTGGAATCGGATCAGCTGTCAGCGATGTATACCTTGAGCAAAGGTGGCGGCTGGCGAGGCCAGGGATAGTTTGGGTAACCAAAGATCTTTGACTTGGGTAACCAATGACTAGAATATCTATCCCAAAATTTGCCAAGGTTTTCCCTGATGGGGACCTGGGATAGCTACATCCTGTGGAAGTAGTGTATGTGTCAAGCTATTGGCGAGTTACCACCATTTTTTTTTGGTATTTCTACCAGTGGTGACCCCTGGTTTCGTGGGTTTTCCAGGCACGGCATTCTTTCAAACCATACAACTATTGGTGGCTTGTGCCTCTGGACCCGGTTAGCTAAAACCGGCGAAACCCACCTTGTGTGTTTCTGAAATCCGATATATCTACCATGCAGAAACCATCGGTAACCTGGCTTTCGACTTGAACTGTTAAGCGGCTTCGCCAGGCGTGACCTTCGATGCCAAGACCAGCAAGCGCCTGTCGAAGACCCTGGGTAGCTTCGGGCCCAGGAAGCGTTCCAGCTACAGCAAGCGGCAGAGCTATGTGCGGGTGGGCAGCAAGCGCCTTGGCATTTTTTGTTTTTTTGGCCACTTGTGAAAGGTTAAATGTTCTAAATAACTAATTGTAGTTATCATACTATATGATATTAGTAGGTTTTCAGATTGTTGTGTAATGTTATAAGTGATCAATCACTAATATGACACGCTATACTGTCGGTTGACACTTGTTTTATATGTGTGTGTGGATAGATCAGATGATATACGGCACACTGACTGAAATGTCGATATAGGTGATGTGTATATATATATATGTCTGTAATGTCGTGCAACATTAATTACATGTATGAGATCTGATGTAACATGATGTAACAGCACATAACATTGCAGATTCCAGTGATGCTGGTGATGCTGCTGGTGACCATCATGATCATGATCATGATGATGATGATGATGATGATTATGATGATGATGATGATGATGATGATGACGACGACGACAATGATGCCCCCTGATGCTGATGATGCTGATGATGATGATGATGACGACGACGATGATGACGATGATGGCGATGATGACGATGATGACAATGATAACGATCATGACGATGATGACGATGATGACAATGATGACGATGATGACAATGATGACGATGATGACGATGATGACGATGATGACGGTGATGATGGTGATGATGGTGATGATTATGAAAATGATGATGATGATGGTGACGATGATGGTGATGATGATGGTGATGGTGATGGTGATGATGATGATGATGATGATGATGCTGATGATGATGATGATGATGTCACTGAGGATGATTATGATGATGATTATGATGATGTCCCTGCTGATGATGATTGATGATGATGATGATGATGATTGTTGATGATGATTGTTGATGATGATGATGATGATGATGATGTCCCTGATGATGATGGTGATGATGGTGATGATGGTGATGATGGCGATGGTGATGGTAATGGTGATGGCGATGGCGGTGGTGAGGGTCGCGGTTGCGGCGGTGGAGGTGGTACAACTACTAATGCACACCAATCGTTTTTAGATTGGATGATGTTTCTTGGTGTTTTTTTGTGCTGAAACAGGGGATATTTTCAAATATTCATTATGGATGGAGTCTTTGGCATCTCAACTTGTGAGGCAAACAGGGGATATGGCGGTTCCCATCACTTCAAGCAGAAGTGTGCGATTGCCCAGCGATGATGGCAACATACCGGTGGCGGCGGTTTTAGACTTCCAGAGGCACCAGCCATTCAGGGTGGTCAAATGCAAGCAGCACCCTCTGGCCCCTCTGGTAATTTTATATAGCGCAAAACTCATGTTTAAAAGCATATTACGGAGGGTCGTTTTCGAATTTCGATCAAATCTCATTTTTTGGAAGTCATTGTGCAATGCATCGTTGGTTCTCTCGTTTATATTCCATGCTTATTTTTGCAATGATGATCCCAAATGCATCCGGAAGAGGTTTTGGGATGGGTTGAATCCATCAGGAAACGATGACGTTGAAACGATGACGTTGGTGTTTTTTCTCCGTATTTCTTCGATTTCATCACCATAAACATCAATAAAATGTCACAACCATCACAACCATCACTAAAGTCATTTCATCACCATGTAAACATGATTTTTTCCATGTCTTTCCATCACATGTTCCCTTTTTTTTCCATGGTTTTCACCATTTTCCTAATTTTCCTAATTTTCCTATGGTTTTCCCATGGTTTTCCCATGTTTTTTCCTGACGCCGCGCCATCGGCGCCAGATTCGTGTCGGACTCGGGGCGCCTCAGCGCGGAGTTTGACGAGGAAGCCAGTCATCCGGTGGAGGCCAACGAGGCTGTTGATGATGGTTGGTGATGGTTGGTGATGGTTGGTGATGGTTGATGATAATGATGATTAGTTGATGATTGTTGATTATGATGGTTACTTGATGATGATGATTAGTTCAAAAACCATAAACGACTATACTATAGGTGTATATATATATATATGGGAATCAATGACTGGATATCACTCCAAGATAGTACAACCATATGGGGAGATCCATAAATGGGGGTACCCCAATAGCTGGATGGTTTATTTTATGGAAGATCCTATTAAAATTGATAATTTGATTGTACCCTTGTTTTAGGAAACCCCCATATAGGGTTTCAGAAACCATGAACATATGGGGATCTAATTTGGCAACTTAGAAACTATTGTTGATGATGATTAGTTCAAAAACCATAAACGACTATAATATAGGTGTATATATATATATATATGGGAATCAATGACTGACTATCACGCCAAGATAGTACAACCATATGGGGAGATCCATAAATGGGGCACCCCAATAGCTGGATGGTTTATTTTATGGAAGATCCTATTAAAATTGATAATTTGATTGTACCCTTATTTTAGGAAACCCCCATATAGGGTTTCAGAAACCATGAACATATGGGGATCTAATTTGGCAACTTAGAAACTATTGTTGATGATGATTAGTTCAAAAACCATAAACGACTATACTATAGGTGTATATATATATGGGAATCAATGACTGGATATCACACCAAGCTAGTACAACCATATGGGGGAGTTCCATAAATGGGGGTACCCCAATAGCTGGATAGTTTATTTTATGGAAGATCCTATTAAAATTGATAATTTGATTGTACCCTTATTTTAGGAAACCCCCATATAGGGTTTCAGAAACCATGAACATATGGGGATCTAATTTGGCAACTTAGAAACTATTGTTGATGATGATTAGTTCAAAAACCATAAACGACTATAATATAGGTGTATATATATATGGGAATCAATGACTGACTATCACGCCAAGATAGTACAACCATATGGGGAGATCCATAAATGGGGGCACCCCAATAGCTGGATGGTTTATTTTATGGAAGATCCTATTAAAATTGATAATTTGATGGTACCCTTATTTTAGGAAACTCCCATATAGGGTTTCAGAAACCATGAACATATGGGGATCTAATTTGGAAACTTAGAAACAATTGTTGTTGATGATGATGATGATTAGTTCAAAAACCATAAATGACTATACTGCAGGTGTATACTATTGAGAATCCATGACTGAATACCACACCAAGATAGTATAACAATATGGGGCGTTCCATAAATAGGGGATCCCCAATAGCTGGATGGTTTTTGTTATTGGAACTCCCACACAAAAATGGATGAGAACTGGTGGTATTCCCATGTCAGGAAACCTCCATTTATAGATTTTACTTAGAGGATCTTGGAGGTGCCAGGGTTTTAATGATGAAATATTGGATGAAATGGTGATTTAAATATGGTCATATGGTCAAACATGGATAATGGTGATTTAACTGGATATATCTGATGACATATGATGAAAATGGTGATTTGACATGGCGTGTTTGAATGGTGAAATGTTGATTTGATGATGATTTCGATTACCCTCTGGTAATTCATAGTGGATTTTCCCATTAAAAATGGTGATTTTCCATAGCTATGTTAAATTACCAGAGGGTACATTTAGAAGGTGGAATAATTATAGAAGACAGAACAAGATGAAATGCGTTTTGAAATGGTGATTTAATTAAACATAATTAAACAATATGCGTGGCAAGGGGGCAACCGGGCAGAAAACCAAGGGTTCCTATTGCAGAACCTTCATTGATGCTGCCAACCGGAAGTGAAGAGGGTCAACATGTGTTCTACACGTATCCTAGAATAGAAGCCTTTTTTTGGGGGTGAATATTATAATAGGCTTTGGAACGGTAAGACTTGGCATGGATTATGTTTGAATGCTTATGAAAACACGTATTGGTGGATGATCAATGTACAGATCAGGACTGAACAAGGAACATGAACTTGGAGGTAAATGAGACCGGACGACTTGAATGAATTATTTAGTAACCATCAGCTTCAGTAACACTTGACGCACGACTCATCATTATCATCATCATCATCATCATCATCATCACCATCACCATGACCATCACCATGACCATCACCATGACCATCACCAGCTGACCCGCAGGCTCCGAACAAGCCCAACATGATGCTCAACCGCTACTCCGTGGGCGCAAATCTGAACAAACTCCAGTCCAAGACTGCCTTAGGAGAACTGCGTTTCAATCCAGACGACGATTGAGCAGAAAAGGGCGCAAGTTACGGTGGCAATATGTGGCTATATGCAGGTTGGTGTTGATATAGTGTTTTGAGAGTCTGGGTGGAAGATCCCCTCTTTATAAGTGGTAGATTGAATACATATTAATAATTTCATTCCTCTCGAAGCATGTTTTGTCTTGCAAAATTGCATGACAAGCTTCGATGCACTGCGGCCTTTTGCTGATCACCATTTGTGGAGTTTCCGCCCAACCGAACCGACAAACCCTACGGTTCCATGACCTCTGCCATGTTTTATTCGTGCTGCTCCCTGGCATTTCTGTTCCCTGGTGGATGGGCCTTGAATTTGCGTGCGAAGGGATTGGATGAAGCAGAAAGCTGGCAGAACTTGAGCCATTTGGAAAATGCATCCTATGCGCTACCACCACATGCTCATCATTACCAGTTTGTGGCCACCACCACACGTTATGGTACCAATCCGCACACTGCTTGTGGCTTGGATTCGGGAGCACTGGTTCAAGGTACAGGAGCCTCGGCTGGTGCAAGTAGATGGTTTCCTTAGTGTCGGATTCACAGTAGACCACAATTGGATATAATTGATATAATCGGTCACAATTGAAATGCATATTGGAATATATGAATATGTTACTTGTGATGATAATTTGGGTGATTAATTATGCTTATTGAGATAATGGGAACAGCAGTTCATAAACTTAAACCATCCCCACTAGCCAAGCACTTGGGGGTGGTAAATCACGTTGCTCTAATTCATTCCATTGGAAGGGGTACACACAAAACTTGAGCACAACTGATAGTTTATCATTGTGGATCTCACAAATGATCACATGATCACCTAAATATCATGGTTCACGAATTCCTTTCTCTATCGCACGAGCTATTGTGCCCATTTGGCCCTTCCTTTGGCCCCCCCCATCCCTAGGTTACCTGGCCGTTGCTTCCGCTCAAGCCATGCAAAACGGCTGCTGCCGATGCAACCGCAACGGCGGGGGTGGGCAACGGCTGCCATGGGCTGCGGGGCCTGTGGAAAGGGCAGGTTTATCCGTCAACTGCCACGTGGCTTCAAGAGACCTGGCCAAGAAAGACAGCTGGTACAAGTTGGTGCCTCATAGTTAGCTAAGTTGTTTCATAACTACGTAGTAACTCAGCTAGGGGCAACTATAGGTGAGGTTATAAACCCATGGACATAACTAGGGGGCGCCACCTTGTGCATATTCTATTGGCTCAACCATTGAGAAAATATAGCCGCCATGGCCTATCGGATGATTTGTGTATCAAGTGGGATGAGATAAAATCACAAGCTGCGGCAGTTTTTACCCACCAAAATCTTGGTTTGAGAGATGGGGATTACTGATTCCAAATGGGTTTTCAACATGAAGATTCTGTGAAAAGACTCTTGGTTAGTTGAATATCGAGAACTCTTGTCAAAATCGATGTTTTTAAATCAAGATGTAGACGGAACTGTTGACCCCGGAAGTTCAAGGCTCTAGTTTGATTTGATGCTACTGGACAACCTTCGCAAGCCATTGGCATCACATTGAGCAACACTTCTGAGTGCAGAAGTCAAACAAAAAATGGAAGACCACTATCCTAAAACCTATCTTGTAGCTTGTGATTTGAACTCTTCTTTGGCCAGTTTAGGACCCATTTAACAAAAAAACATGATTAAAAGACAATTTCACTTTTTTTTTCAGAAATTCTATTGCTGCAATGTGATTTGGTTTCAGGATTTGGACTTCGGCATCAGAGCCAATCTTCCAAAAGGAGTACAAATTTGTGGCTGGATCCTGCTCCTGTATTTTTTTTTGTTTAATTGGGAGTTCGATTTTACCACAATAACTCATCAGTGGGCAGATTGCCATGAGCGGGAAACATATTCCTCTATCTAGTAATCAAACATAGCTGTGGCATAGCTGTGGACAATCAGCCCGGTCAACCATCTAGAATTGTTTTTTTTCTTCCATCGCTATGTTAAATAACAGGATGCTATTCACATGTATGAATGTGATAAATATTTTGGATATGACCAGGACCTGGTTGGTGTTGTCAAATTTTCTCTTAGACGTATCCCTCAAACAACGATGCTGGCGGCGACCAGGTGGTGGTTGACATTTGCCCGCACTCCAACAACCGGATGTGGTGTCCAGAGCACGCTGGACAGACCGATGACTTTGGAGTGCAGAATCATTTTGACTTTGCCACGGTGCCTTCGAACTTTGACAACTACTACTTTGAGTTCACACCAGAACCTTGCAACCATGAGATGCAGTCGCGCTTGGCGCGCATGTCCAAGTGCCACTGAAAAACCGCAGTCGCTGAAAAAACTGTGCTGGGGATAAAGGGGCCATTAAAAAATTCCAGGACTTGATGATCTTGATCGACTGATGCTTGTTGGGAAATAGAAATAGTGTACCCCTATTTGTTTGGTGAATCAGCACCCCTATAACCGGGAAAGTGACCAGAAATATTGTTGGGTCTCCAGCGGTGACAGAAATAGACTCAACCTGGAAGTTGATGCTCCAATTTGAGTGTCCATATAAAAATGCAATCTGGTTGGTGGTTTGGAACATGGCTTTTATTTTTCCCATCATATTGGGAAGTTCATCCCAACTGACTTTCACTCCATCATTTTTCAGAGGGGTTGGTTGAAACCACCAACCAGTCAATGTTTTTTTGGTTTTATGTTTTTTAATCGGGAGCATGATCATGAGCCATTGGATTTGGGGTTTGCCTGATTTCCAGGCTCTACCAAGTCACCAAGTCACCTTTTTAGCTGCCAAGTGATGTCCCAAAATGTTGTGCTGTTGTGCCATTTGTCGGGCAAAAAATGTTGATGTATCCATCACAAACCCAGTAGTGAAACCTAGTTGTAAATTAACACTTATAGTTCTCTTGATAACAACCTTTCAAATTTGACAATTCACCACAAAAGTTCTCTGGATTATGAACCAACCTTTTCAAGTTTCTGTTACTTTGATTTCACCCATTTTTTTTTGTCAAAAATCTTGGCGCCGACCAGGTCGAAAAGCCTTGGGCCCGCGCTACATCGAGTTCCACCCCACGTTGCCCATCGCCTACGTGGCCTGGGAGCCCGGTGTGAAACAAAAAAGCGTCAGGTTGTGACTGGGTCAAACCAGGTGTTATATAATACATATATATATATATATTTATTTATTTATTTATTTATATATTTGTAAGTATATGTAAGTCTATGTAAGTATATGTAAATCTATGTAAGTCTATGTAAGTATATATATATATATGCAAGTCTATGTAAGTATATATATATATATGTGTAAGTCTATGTAAGTCTATGTAAGTATATGTAAGTCTATGTATCTAAGTAAGTCTATGTAAGTCTATGTAAGTCTATGTAAGTATATGTAAGTCTATGTAAGTATATGTAAGTCTATGTAAGTCTATGTAAGTATATGTAAGTCTATGTAAGTATATGTAAGTCTATGTATCTATGTAAGTCTATGTAAGTATATGTAAGTCTATGTAAGTCTATGTAAGTATACGTATGTGTATGCAAGTTTATGTAAATATATGTAAGTCTATGTAAGTCTATGTAAGTCTATGTAAGTATATGTAAGTCTATGTAAGTCTATGTAAGTCTATGTAAGTATATGTAAGTATATGTACTGTACATGAACATGAATATGTAGAGGTAGATGTACATGTAGCTACATGTACATGTACATTTGTTTCTTTTTTTTATATATTCATATGTAACATGTATATGTATTTGTATATGTATATGTGAATGTATATGTATATGTATGTCTTGTACTTAGTACTTTGTAGAATTTGTTTCTGTAAATGGCAAGATGTACAAACATGTACGAACACACGTCTTTCTGCACTGGATCTTAGATTAGACCTCTCTTTGTGGCATTTGACACGACAATCTTGTTGCACTTGGGCTCGTAAAGCCATAGCTTTTTCTGTTGGTGCAATGTTTCTTTGTCGGTTATACCGTCCGCACGTTGTTGCGTGATTCTTGGAGTTAAAGAATAATTACTAAACATATCTAAGCTAAAACAACTATCTGAACATATCTTGACAGGAATATGTATCTACACCTCTTAACTATGGCGCAGTCGGGAAACGTTGATGATTTCTTTCACCTGCCCCTTGGGGATTAAACTCTGTCATCAAACATGGGAAAATCCCATCATTTAGTTCGATCGATGTCCATTTACTTCGGGGATTTCCCAGATTTCCTCTTCAAAACCACCCAAATTTTCAGGGATTTCCCTCTGATTTCTCAGGCATTTCCCCCCCAAGGACTTCCCATGGATTTCCCTAGGGATTTCCGTGGATTTCCCCATTTCCTTGGCTCCAAGGTGAACGAACTCGCCTCAGACATCTCTGTCTTCGAGTTCGACATGACAGCCGCGGAGGCGAAAAAAAGGGGGGCCATGGGGGGCCAGGCGGCCTGGACATCAAAAATCATGGGGAAAATCATAGGGGAATCATCGGGAAAACGATGGTTAATGATGTTTTTTTTTTTTATCTATGGAATAATCATATATTTATGATGATTAGGGTTATTTATATGTTATAGTCATGATGGTTTATGATGAACATTATTGGATTATAGTAACATATTGTGGTTAATGATGGGAAAAGCCAGCTATCATGTGGAACATCGATGATAGTAACACGGGGAATGATGGTTTATGATGGAAAAACATGATTCGATAGTCATTAACCATAATTAACCACAATATGATTGCTATTTAATAGTGGTTAAGAATGGTTAATGATCATTAATTAACCATAATCATCATCATTAAGCATTATCATAGGACATAAGAAATGGAAAGGCCCCTATAGGCTATAGGGGCATATTTTATATCAATGATTATCTCAATGGATGTTTCAAGATCGATTGAGTTGAACGGAACATTGAAAGGACACAATGCTATTTGAAAGATGCCCAAACGTGGGAGGTCCATGAGTTTCCTCTATTTTTTTCCTAAAATGAAGTGTAAACTTTGAGATCCTTGTCAATCGACACCGATAATGGGTGTCTGAAGCCTGCGACCCCGGTCTTAACATTAAACACCACAAGTATCCATAGCTAATCAGGACATTCTCGAAGCAACCACTTTAAGACAGGGAATCATTTTCCAGTTTCCAATCAAGTCTAATCAGGTTTCACAATTCTATTTGCAGTTGTTAGCCCTCTTAAATCTAGTTGTCCAGCATTTGGACTCGCCATCACTTGAGGATGTGGCATGTTCCTCATGTCTTTTAGTTCCACTTGCATCTGAACCCCATTCATTCTAGATGTGGCCCGCGGAATCGCTGCAGCCAGGCCATTATCAAAAGTGGAAAGGATGATGATGGCAAGGAGGCGTCAGGATGAAATCGGCTTGGGGGTCCCAGTATTACGGGAGATTTACACCCCCAGTGTATAGCAATTCTAATCGAAAAGCAATCGGGAATCGACCGTGAGATTGTAGGATACCAGGATACCCAGCAAGTGCAAGTGTCACAGCGAAAATCTGTCCAACAACGGTAGATACACACATCTATGGCCATTCGATGATGAAAATCACGATGAACCATAAGATTCTAGGCACCACTTCATGTTCATGTTTTATGGATAAACTCATGATCAACCGTGAGATTTTGGTGTAAAGTCATTAAACTGGTGACAGTTAAGTGTTTCCAGTCTCCAGGCGAAATATGATGAAAAATGATGTATACCCCACAATCATGGCATGTTTTGAAGGACATTGAAGAAATACGAACATGTTTAGGGGTACACTGGTGGTCAGCCTGAGTTTGGTCAATGTCTGTTTCTTCCTCAAACCATTGTGAACACTTAGACTAACCAGACCAGCTTAAATAGACTCATTACATCTATAATCAAGTACTGTAAGCAGCTAAATACTGTAAGCAGCTAAACTTAAAAACAAAAAAAACATGCATGGTATCATTTGGATATAATATAATATATATATAGATAGATAGATAGATGTGTGTGTGTGTTCCATGGTTGATCATGATTGGTTTTACCTCAAAATATGACGCCAGGCCAAACCAACCCTGCGCTTGGTACAGTCACTTGGCACGGCCAGAGATGGGGTGCTAGGGCTACAATGTGGTGCCACCCAGATGTTTGTTAATTTATGAAGCCCATGAATTACCTGGGCATCGATACCATAAACATTCCACAACCATAGGGGTTTGTAAGTACTCATAATTATACATGCGGAATCTCAAGATATTAACCCGGCCTATTATGATTTATAACCCCGATGAATTAGTTCGATATATGATGTGTCTATTAACCATTGACCTAGTCATTTCAAGCAACTTGACTATCGTCTTGGGCCCCCCCTTGCTTGGTACCACCACATGTGATCCCTAATCATCATGCTTTGCAGGAAGATGTTGATTTGGGGGGTATCCCCGAGTTTCAGGTACCAAGGCCATATGAAATTTGACACTCTTCAGGATGTGTCAAGTAAGATACGGAATCCAAACAAGTAACATAGGGATGCATATGAGATATTATAACATATTGCAATACATTATAATACATTATAATACATTATAACATATTGTAACATTTATCAGAGCATCCATGATTTGACCATATCCAAGATAGAGAATCTCCATGAAAACCCAGGGCAGCCGACCAGGTCGGTTCGCACCATTCCTGACGCCTTTCCGGGAGTCGGGGCGCCCAGTCGGGTTTGATTAGTAGGTTGTGGCAATGAACAGACTAATTCACCTGCAAAATGTGTGTTGTCGTTCCGTATCTATGTGTACATAATATATAATTGTATATATAAAAAATATATAAAAATATGGGGTTAATTGAGGTGTTCTTATTTTCAGACCTTCCCGTTTGTTCGTACAACATATCAGGATTACTGCAGGTTGCACAACACAAATGGGATGAGAAACACAGCCATGGGATGAGATGATGATTCTTGAGCAACACATGGGATACGGTCGTAATATGTTGCCAAAGTACAACAAACCAAAGATTGGTTGCTTCACAAGTGATATATATATATACATATTTATACATGATTTTACATGTATATATGATATAAGCCCACAACTGTGAGAGGAATGCAAATTTAAACCCATATGGCCCATATGCATTTTAGGGCCAACAGGCATCAATAAGTAAGACAGATGGCACGGCTAGATCAACAGTTTGTATTGTTTGTCAACCAGGTCAGGTCTTTGGAAAATTCACTCTGGGAGATACCTTGTTGTAATTTAACGTAGCTATTGAACATGGAAATTATAGTTGAATTACACATTTTAAAAACATAGTGGTTTTCCATAGCTATGTTAGTTTACGAACGGGTATGTGTTTGTTCCGTTTCATTGTTTGTTAATATGTTTTTGAGATGCTTCGGGCCAGTTTGAAGCCGCCAACCGCAAATTCACTGGACATTCCAAGGTTTTACTTGGCTAATTGCAATGATGATGGTCCGAATATGTTTGCATGATATCAATCGAACAGTTTCCAACTTCACTCACTGCTTCGCTATGTTTGCATGATATCAATCGAACAGTTTCCAACTTCACTCACTGCTTCGCATGTGTATACATTTATATATGTATATTATACATATATATATATATACATATATATATATAATTAATGTATGTGTATATATATATATAACAAAAAACTAAACGTATATATAATTAATGTATACATATATATATATATACACATGTATAACATGTACTGTATAATGGGCCCTTTTTCACGCTTCATTTCCAGGCTGGGTGGGGTGTGTTCCCATCTGGGTTACGTCGTACTTTGCTGGTAAATATCTCACGGATTTGCAGTTCGCTCTGCTTGGTGGGTTATATCCCGTTCAGTCTTCGTTCTATCCTCATCTTTGCCAATCATTATCCCCGTTTTGTATTTTGTTGTTTAATCTCAATCTTTGGCCAACAGTATTCACACTTTTCTAAGTACCTTCTGGTAACCTAAATTTAAGATAGGTATAGAAAACCAACCAATTTCACCCTCTTAAAAAGCGGTAAATCATGTGTAAATGGGCCATCTATACCGTATCAAACTGTGAAATTACCAGAGGGTATTTGTTTGGCTTGATTCATCCCAACTTCAGGATTTTCTCAAACCATATCACCATATCACAACCCATAGGTGTGTTGCTGAAAAAAACCCGTTTCTTCTCCTGAAAAATATCTGTGGATTATGTCCCCAAACTCCCGGAAGCCCGACCCAGCGACCCAGGAAGCCAATACTTGCGGTCGTGTGGCTGTCCACAGCTCCGGGAACTTTGTCTTGGTATCGCCACTTGGCAAACAAAAGTCGTCGGTGTGATTCATACAACGTGACCTATGTCTATTTATAAAAGGCCTATCTGGTGGGAAATACACCAACAACAGAAATGGCCTTACATGGTAGTGATACTTAAGCATCTAATGATATAATTATAAATGAACATATTGAAATTAGTCAAGGAGAATTCATCATTCTGATGATATATGGAAACCCCCAGTCATTGATAGAAACAATGAAGAGCAGGAAGCCAATGGGGACATCCTCACTATTTTGGGGACCCCTTCAAACAATTGGTAAACCATGGGTTTGGCTCAAGTCAGAGACATGCTTGTTTAAGTGTCGATCAAGATTTTTACACCACCGAGGATGTTTGTACCAAATGTTGTCATCCTTATTCGACGAGCACATTTAGGTGCATTTATCAACAGGACATTGGAAGACATGGGTAATTTTTACCTATCAAGTATGAGCAAACATGGAGATTGAACAATCAAAACGTGGGAGCTTCAGCATCAAAATATGACTAAGCCTTAATAAGCCAACATGTTCAAACATCTTCCCGTTTTGGTATGTTTTGGTAAGTGTTTGTTGTTGACATTCACATATGAAGGTTTCCTAAGTCATGGGGGTACCCCCCAGTTCTATCAGCCATCCATTTTAGGGTACCTCCATTTATGGAACCCCCCTTTTGTTTACGATGAGCCCGGTGCTGCTTCGGCTTCAGGAATCGTGGACACGACAGCATTACGGTCTTCCGCGTTACCTGGTGATGCAAATCATAGAATCTATGATGGAGGTACCCCCATTTCAGGAAACCTCGATATATATATATACGTATATATATATATATACAAGAATATATATATAATTATAACTACAAATTTATAGTGTATTCTATATTTCATCTTGTAAGTTGAACTTGACCAGCTTCAATAGTGTTTGTTTGTTTGTTTGTTTGTTTGTTTGTTTGTGTCAACTGACATTTGAAAGGCAAAGACTTTCTTTTTTGGCCTACCCTGGCAAGCACCACACTCATTCAGGAAACGTCAATGTTTGAGGTACTCGTACAACGCCATCTGTATCACTGGTATTCAACCCTACTGAAATTCAGAAATATCAGTGTTTTTCTTGTCGTCTTTTTTCATGATTTTTCATGATTTTGTGCTTACTATGCTAAACTTCCAGTCGTTTTTTCTTGTTTTCATATCTTTCAAGCCAAAAAACATCGAACTGTCCCTGCTTAGTAGAAAGCCACCACTTCTGACGGAGCAGTTCAGGTTCATTTTACTCCTGGACACAAGGGCCTGTTGTCCGTGGCTGTGACGCAGCTGGAGTCTCAGGTACACACAACCATTGCGTGATGATTTTTTTTTAATGATTAATGATTTGTTTTTTGTTTTTTCAAATGTGTGTACACACAGGCTACAGATACCAGATGATATTGAAATATATTATATTATATTATATTATATTATATTTTATTTTATTAATATTAAATTAAATTATATTATATTATATGATATTATAATATGATATTATATATATTTATACACATATCAAATTACATATTATATTATATATAATGTATGTAATATAGGTACACATATAAATCAAACATGGTTTACAAGCCCTTTCTTTTGGGCCATGCCATGTGCGTGGAAGCAATGTTCGGAGGTCAGGCGTGAAAATAAACATAGGGAAACAGTTCAAAGATGTAAACCACTGTAAACCATTTGTTTGTTCATTCTTGTATGTTTTTTGTGTGTTACTTGCAGTATCCCACTTCCATATGTAGATTTGCGGATCCATTGCGAAATATTCAATATTCCCAGTCCAACTGTTTTTATTCTACTTGGTTTCATCCCAAATTGCCTTCGAATGTAACTCTGCATACATACGTTTAAGGGTTGAGGTTTCGGATAGTCAATTAGAAAAGTGCTGCCTGTGCTGCCTGGCTAATGCACCAATCAACACCCTCGTCCCAGCGTTGATATATAATCTTTTCGCCATTTCCTGCTGTTTCCAGATGCGTAACATCAATATCTTCACCCATTATTTGAAATTGGGAGTTCCGGTTCCGCATTATAGCTTGGGGATACGAACATCCGGAACTGCCAGCAATCTTGATATTTACCCAGGCTTTTGACAGATCGCCCCCAGTTGCTATGATGAGAAATACTGCCAGTGTTTAGCCAATATGATATACTGCTATCTATGTCGATGCCAGCTTTGAAAAATATTGTGAATATGGATATTTATGATGATATTTATTATTATTGACATCTATTGACCAGGTGTAATTTACCATTGACATCTATTCATAATATGACAATGATAGATATTGATATGACACCTCATATTACCAGGTAACAATACCTACTGTGGATGCTTGAAAAAGGATGGTTGAAACCCAAGAATGGGATGTTTACCACCTATCAACTGGTGCAGGATTTCTTCCATCCACAGTATGTCATAGTCCCCAAATAATAACCAGTTAGAAAGTTGGTTGATTTATGATAAACCCCATTAACTAGTTTGTCATATCTACCATAAACCATAGTTAAGCCACCTATAGTAACCATTGGTTAAACCATAGTTTCCCTCTGGTAAACTAAAATAGCTATTGAACATGGCCATAGAAATAGTGGATTTACCCATTAATAACATGCTGATTTTCCATAGTTTTTCGTATGTTTACCAGAGGGTAAGCCACGTGTTTACCATTGACACATCGCAGAAACACGCTTCACTTCGCTCTCAGGCACACCCGAGGAGCCACACCAAGGTATGAAATCCTTGAGATGACCTGGATTTGCTGAAGAAACCATAGGAAACCATTAAACAAATGGGTGATTTAATGGTGGTTTAATGGGATTTAGTCAGCTATAGTGATCAAACGTGATTTAATTGGGAGTATAATTGGGATATAATCCTGGATTTGGATGATTTGGGAGTGATTTTCCCAAGTTTGAAATCCACTTTTTTTCTGTGAGGAATCTCTGGGGTATCTTTGTTCATTTTGCGAGGCTTCCTGGCTAGCTGATGGGCTGCTTGAGTCCCAGGTGGTTCAACTGCTATGTGTATATGTACTGTATATATATATATATATTAGTATAGACCAGATACATTGAATATATATATATATATAACACACTTAGTACATATAATACATATATATATAGCTTTACTGTGCAAAACATACATGTACTATAAATATATATATATGTGTACATCGGGTGTAACACATCTATACTTGTGAAATGCCTCAAGCCTATTTCTAAAGATTTTTTTTTTTTTAATATATATATATATATATATAAAGAAAACCAATCCAAAAAAAAGCTAAAGCCAATCCAAACCTCAATTAGAAAAAAGCAAAACCAAAGCAAAAAAAAACACAACCCAATCCAAACCTAAATTAGAAAAAAACAACCAAAAAAGCAAAAAACAAGCAACACCAAAAACAAAACAAAAGCAAAAAAAAAGAACAAAAAAGCGAAAAGAAAGCGAGAAAAACAAGCGAAAAAAACACGGAAAAAACAGTGAAAACAAATAGTTTTATTTCTTTTGTTGTTTTTTTTTTCTTTTTTCAAATGTTGGTTTGGATTGGATTTTGGTTTTGTTTTTTTTGCTTTTGTTTTGTTTTTTTCTAATTTAGGTTTGGATTGTTTTTTTTCCAATTGACGTTTGGATTGGGTTTTGCTTTTTTTTAGATTTGGTTTTGTTTTTTAGTTCATTTTATTTTTCTATTGTTTTATAGAAGTTGCCTGTAAGCCGTGTCACAAATCTATACCTTTCTCCAGATTCATAAACATGTTTTTTTGTTATCAATCCTCACTTAGTACTGTTCATCTCCTTTTGAGCTGCTCTGCTGCCGCCAGGCACTTTCAATTTGATGCCTCTGGGCAGTGGCTCATCACGGCCAATCAGGAGAGTTTACTTTGCTTACACCATTTGTTTTACTGTCATCGCAAAACACGTTGTTTAATCAACATGTATATCACGTTATATCCCCAAGATCTTTGTTCACAAAGTGGAGTGATTCACCACATGGCTATATTTTCTTGTTTTCCCTCTCACTTCCCAGAATGGCCGGATGAATCTTAAAGACACAAAAAAAAATTCTTGAACTCACGAGTCTTCCACACGAATCCTTCCAGATCCTTCCAGGATTCAGATCACATTTCGGTGTTCCGCTTCAATTTGGCCACGGGCAAGTTGGAGTTCACCGGCAACGAGTGCCCCAGAGCCCCTCGTATCGTAGCCAGTTTTTTTTGGATCAATGATGGTGGATTCATCTACCCACTGGAAGCTGTTCTTGAACCATGAAACAACCACGAATATCTTCGAGAATCTCCAGCGAGAATGAAACAAGACTGGAAGCTATTTGGAAATGAAACAACCATGGAATATTCATGAATAGTGTTTTGGACTTGCTGATGCTCCAGTTCAAGATTCTACGTGCTGTTTTTTTTTCTAAAAAAAAAGGGGCCAGGCTCCCTGAGGTGATGAACGAAAGTGAAACTCCCAAGCTTTTAAACATGAAACATATTCCCCAAATAGGAACTGGTTGTAAATATAAATATATATATATAGTATATATATATATTATAGAGAGAGAGACAGATATGGATTTATATAGATATATAAATTAAATGTGTAAGTGTCTATGATGAGCCATACTACTTACCATCCCCATGGGTGACTCTGGCACCCAATATACCGTACATTTGTCACGTCAGCTGTATGGGGAATACATAACTATAGTTTCAGTATTTTTCAGCTAGGGTTCATAGGGTGTTTATCTATAATTATATCTATATTGAATTATATGTATTATATGTATTTTATGTATAATATATAACGTTATCTCATGGGCTTTATAAACCAACACGCTTAAAAAACCCATCGTTGGCCCCACCTGATGGCCTTTTGCAGGTACGAGGTTCCTTCTCCAAACTTTGTGTGCAGCGTGGTGCCACATCAGCCGCTTTTCGGAAAGCGACATCCAGGGCAGGGTTCGGAAAGACGTCCAGGGCGCTGGGAACATGCGGAAAGATTCCTGGATTCCTGAGCCATGACGGATCCATGGTGCTGGTTTTTCCATGCTAACATGACTGGGGTATATTGATGGGATCCATGGAGCACCATATATAGCAGCACCATGGATCCTATGGGATATATTCAGGTTGTTCTTATCGGATCTTATAGGTTGTTTCAGGCCGGTGGTATTTCTAAGGTTACTATCGGAACCCCGATGAAATATTGTTCCAATGGGATTGGTGCCCAAAAGGAACAGGAAAACTGGATTGCCATGCTAGATTGCTAAAAAGGTTTCTCCAACCAGTAACGACAACGGACGATCATAGCCTAGGGCCTAGGCCTGCATTTCTCCAAGCAAGGTTGTCGATGGTGTGAGGTGATGTGTTGTTCATTGATTTTTTCATCGTTGTTCATAGTTTTGTTATGTTTTGCTTACATTATGGCTAATCATGACTAACCCATACTGTTTGCTTATTATTGGTTCACCATTTAAGTTCAACTGGTTCTTTGGACTTAATTGTTTTTAGATCCTTTTTGATGACCTTTTTTTTGAGTTTCACGACGCACGATGAGTCACGTCACGGTACCACCTTTCAGGCATGTGGACTCCCGGCCCTTTTTTTGGGAACACGGCGAAATGAGCAGATCACCAGCTGTACACCGTAGGGAGCCACTCAGTTGAAGAGTTTCTATATATTTCGTTATTTCTATAGTTGGATTGTGTCCATATATGATTCTCACTCATATTTTGGATCGTTTTTGGACGGAATGACTGGATCCTTGTGATCTGTCCATCATTCAATATCCATGGCCTAAAGTCCCAGGTTCCCAATCAGGCATCACGTAGCACCAAGGTCATTGAACCCCGCACCTATTTCAAGCTTGTGAATCGACTGCGGTTTTGGGGCTTTTACACAAAGCCCTGCTGCGTATTTTCCGATCTTCGGATGGCAAAGTGTCGGAGATCACAGCCAGGTGTTTTCGAAGCCTTTAATCTAAGGCACTGTTTTGTTGGATACCGGTTATTAGCAAACATATTATATATATATACATTATACATATACATATACATACATATATATATTATATTATACATATTATATACATATCATCATATATCATATTGTCTACAACAGGCACTACAGGAGAGGTTGAGAAACTGTTTCGGTTCGCCGAGTTGGCTGACATCCAGAAACCACCCGGAGAATGCAGGCAGCATGCACGGCAATGCACGGCGCTTTTGTGAGTGCTTTTCGCTTGGATTTTGGGTTGTGCATCTCTTGATGAGCGCACAAAAAGGTCCAGCGACATCCTTGCCATTTGTTCCATGTTTTTTTGGATCCTTCTGCACGGCATGTTTCAAGGCATTCATATGATCTACGATAGGGTTTTACAATTATACAGTACTGAATAGGTTTAACACCTGGATTTCAATCAAATGTTTCATCATCTTTGTCCACCTAGAGATGTCCTTTTTTGAGCCTTTGGTTGCAACCTTGGTTTAGTTAATGACAGGTATATGGGTTTGTCTGAAAATACCTCATTCCATTCATTTCATCCACTGGTTTTTCATGATTTTCCTGTTGAAATGATCATAACTTAGGAGCTGGCGTCCATTTTCAGACACATTCCTTCAGGACATGACAGTTTTGAACAGCAGGGTAATTGCAGTGAGAACATGACCAGCAACTTGGATCATGGGTTGAAATCATTTGGGGAGACCATCAAAAAATGCTAATCATACTCTATTGAAACAATAGATCAATTAGCGGCTAGATGATTCCATGATGATTCTCTGTGCTAAAATAGAAACGCATCCTGTTTACTTTCTGCTGTGATGTAACGTGTCTCTGGCGATTCGTCTCTGTATATCAGTTTCCACAGGATATCGACATTGCCCGTTTGCAATCTTTGAATCTCCATGTCAGCGAACGACCTGAGCCTCATGACCAAGGAATGCACATGGGCCCTGGAACTACATGGTCATACATGGTCTTTCTTGGATTCAATATGATTCAATTGATTCAATGCCATTTCGAAGGTTCCACTGAAAAGACATCTTGTCACAACACGATTTCGAGGTTCTGTAGCTGTTCTCAAAATAACAACCAAGTGAACTCGGACAAATCTTTGAGTTTTTAGCTGAGCCGCCATGCCCGGGATGCCCAGATGGGGATGGGAAATGGAATGAAATGGAGGCACCTGAACATGTGGAAAAAACCCTCAGGTAGTGAAACAGCTGAAAACTCCCCCATTTGTATAAGATTGTCCCATTGAAATCCCATATTTATTCATATAATTTCATATATATATAATATATATATATAGATATATTATATAATTATGTGTATATATATACACGGCAAATGCCTGGGTTTTGCCCGAACCCGCAATGACGACGGGAGACGCATCATCATCATCATCATCACCATCATCAACATCATCAACATCATGTTCATCAACATAATCATCCTCATCAACATCATCACACCCTTATTGACGATCTGCAATGAATGTAGAAGTTTAACGGGGGTGGGAGAATTAAACCCTTATTGAAGATCTTCAATGAATGTAGAAGTTTAACGGGGGTGGGAGAATTAAACCCTCATCGAAGATCTTCAATGAATGTAGAAGTTTAACGAGGGTAGGAGAATTAAACCCTTATTGAAGATCTTCAATGAATGTAGAAGTTTAACGGGCGTGGGAGAATTAAACCCTTATTGGAGATCTTCAATGAATGTAGAAGTTTAACGGGGGTGCGAGAATTAAACCCTTATTGAAGATCTTCAATGAATGTAGAAGTTTAACGGGGGTGGGAGAATTAAACCCTTATTGGAGATCTTCAATGAATGTAGAAGGTTAACGGGGGTGGGAGAATTAAACCCTTATCGAAGATCTTCAATGAATGTAGAAGTTTAACGTGGGTGGGAGTTTAATATTCCCTAATATCTTTGTTGATCTTCCCAATTGAATGTAAAGTTTAACGGGGGTGGGAGTTTGATATTCCCTAATACCGTTTTTGTTTTTCCCCTAGGAATTTCGGGTGTTTTGGCATTTTTTCTTTAATATAGTCCCTAGTACCTTTGTTGTTTTCCCCATAGGAATTTAAGGTTTAACGGGGCTGGGAGTTTAATATTCCCTAATATCTTTGTTGATCTTCCTAATTGAATGTTAAGTTTCACGATTTGAGAGTTTAAAATTTCCTAGTACTGTACCTTTGTTGTTTTTCCCATAGGAATTTCAAATGTTATGCCGTGTTTGTTTTTCCCATAGGAATTTCGGGTGTTTTCACCTTGTTTGTTTAATAGTCCCTAGTACCTTTGTTATTTTCCCCATAGGAATTACGGTAATTTGCAACATCATTTATTTGTGGATGGGAAACCTCTACACTGCAACGCCTGGGCAAAACCCAGGCGTTGCGCGTATATATATATATATATAGCGAGGTCAGCCGAGGTGCGAGGTGACCTTTTTAATTTGACGAGGTGATTTAACGAATTATTCGGTCTGACGAGGTAGCTCCTTACATGTGCATTCCTTGTCAAATAAGGAGGAAGAATACTTTTCAAAGCCCGGAAAGTTTTTTTTTGATGCTAGTAGTTCAATCTTTGGAGCAGCAATTTTGCTCAGAGTTCCCACCAGCTAGCGATCCGCGGGGTTGTTGCTTCTCGTTCTCAAGCGTGGAAGAGGGAGGCACTTGGTGATGAGGCGTGGAAGGACATCATGCATTCCCATTCTTGGACGACTCCTTGCGGAAGCTGTGCATGGCAGAGCACGACGGCTTCACGAGGACATGCTTTGAAAAAGACCGGTGCTGAGCAGATGAGTGAGGAAATCTTCTTGAGGCACAGCTTGCAAGACAGGGAATGGAAGTTGGAAAAAAGTTTTTGGATGCGTTTGTTTTTTTGCGTCTTTAATTTGCTAGGAGCCCGAAAACATTTCTTCATCAGCAAAGTGTTTGGATTTAAATAGGAATTGGAATATTAATGAGCTCTCATGAGCTTATAGGGGATGGCAGTGGAAAGCACAAACCCAGGGACAAAACTTTGCTGATGAAGAAATGTTTTTTTTGGTCCCTAACACATTGAAGACGCAAAAAAACTGTTCAGCTTCCAAAAAGTTTTTTTTCCCGACTTCCATTCCCTGTCTTGCAAGCTGTGCCTCAAGAAGATTTCCTCCCTCATTTGTTCAGCAGCATGTCCTCGTGCAGCCGTCATGCTCTGCCATGCACAGCTTCCTCAAGGAGTCGCCCAACGCGATCATGTGCTCCTGGTCGTCAGTCTGTGCTGGCACGAGCACAACACCATGCTCTCCAGCCGAGGCGGAAGTGACCAACTCCAACTCTCCCGGAGACACTGCCCTGTCACTGTCACCAACCCAGATCGGCCCTGCTCTGACATAGAATGCTCTGCCGCATAGGATCGCATGACGTTACCTCATCACCAAGTGCCCCCCTCTTCCACACTTCGTCTTGAGAACGAGAAGCAACAACCACGCGCATGGCTAGTAGCTGGTGGGAACTCTGTGCAAAAACATCAAAAAAACTTTCCGGGCTGGATCGGATGAGGGGTTAAATCCTAAATGCCGATTTAACGAGTTAGCTAAATTCACGAGGTAAGCGATTTAAGCACGAGGTGTAAGATTTAAAGTACATTGGCCATATATATATATATATGTATAATACATATAATGAAATTCCATATGTATATGTATATATATATATTTCCCCTAGAAATTTCCTCTATAGAATAGGGTAACACGTGTAGCGTTATAACCCTCCATTTTATACCTCTATAAAATGTGTTTTTTTTCTCCTGGGACTTTCAAAGCACTTCTTTGGTGTTTTGGGCATGCTCCAAGGTCAAGAGTGGTCGCCATTTTATAGAGGGTACTTTGGGTTCTTTTTTGGGGACCCTATTTTACCCTGGTCCCCATTTTATAGAGGCCACAGCTTGGGTTGTTTCAACATGAACAACTCGCTGTCCAAGCTGCACCATATGGCTCAACAAAATGTCAAACACATTCAAGATA